CCTTACTATAAAATGTTTATGGTATATAGGACTTAATTAATATAATAATTTTCAATGATACAGTTGATAATTAAAACAAAAAAAAGATTGCATATATCTTCCAAAACTTGTTTACCAATTTACATTTTTATATATAAATTATTATTTTAGTATTTATTTAGTAATGAGATAAAAAGAAAAAATTAATAATAGATCAACAGTGTTGTTATACGACTAGTCGAAATGCCTTCTCTTAGGGTTGGGGTTATCGTATTCCCCTTCATCCCATTTTAGAACTCTTGTATTCTTGTTATCAATCTTTTTTTTTGTGGTGGTTGCATGTGTATGATAGTAAATCTGCCAAAGCGATGACAAGGGCCGGGAGTTTCTGTAGTTATTCTTTCACCTACATGGCTTAGGTCCAAAACTTTAAACATGGTAGACAAAGACACGGCTACGTAGCCGTTAATTAACCCCAACCTTAGTGTTATTGCTAAGCTTGCAGAAAGCAACCACTTCCCCATTTCGATACCCAATGGCAGTGATGATAACTGCATGATACCCGATCATTCTAGAATGTGGACACACCGACCTTTTGTAAATCTTTTTTCCTCTGTCATACAACTCTGGATAAGCGATTATATCGGCTGCAATTAGACCCCTAGGTAGATGTTCTAAAGAGTGCCATAATGAAAAAACCACAGAGACTAACTGGACTCTAGACCTAATTACATCTAACGAAATTTTTATGAGAGCGGTAAAAGGCAAATGGCAGAAAATCCATGACGAATTTTCATCAAAGATGGGTTTGAAAGCACCATTGTCACATATATAGACTAATGCATCTAATACATGGCAAGCATAACATATGTGGTCTACATATACGCTTGCATCATTCCCTAATTGTTCAGGCCAGCATATCATACAAAGGGACCAGACTGATAGAGGAAAATAACTTTATGCTTGCCCTCAAATCACCGTGTGAGCACTGAGGAGATCAAGGGCTACATATGCCCAGCACAAACTATGTTGATTCTGATTTCTAACAGGACCAAACTCCTCAAACCACGAGGTTGTTATGATTTCTTTAGACAGGTTACGAGCCCTCGGCAGAGAATCACTGGATTGGAAAAAAACGGTTGTAACATCTTGGTTGGAGGAGAGTCTGAACTCCTTGTCGGAGCCAATGGCATCTTGGAGCTAATAAATCAAAAAGAATATGAATGGTAACCCAACATATTCCGATGCTTCTTAGGAAGGACGCGAGACCTACGGGTTGAAATCACAAGAGCCGATTGTGTAAGGTTCGCGTAAACACCATAGGAATATCAGAGAAACCCTAAAAAATTGACAGGTTTCGGCGGCGACAAACAAAATGAAATCATAAGCTATTATTGTAAGGAAAATTGCACTACATGAACTTAGAGCTCATAGGAGCTTTGAGATATTTCTTTCACCTACATGGCTTAGGTCCAAAACCTTAAACATGGTAGACAAAGACACAGCTACATAGCCATTAACCCCAACCTTAGTGCTATTGCTAAGCTTGCAGAAAGCAACCACTTCTCCATTTCGATACCTAGTGGCAGTTATGATAAACTGCATTATACCCGATCATTCTAGAATATTGATGTGTGCAAGCTTTAAATTTATAACCCTAGAAAACTGCAAGTGCACAATAAAGACAATTGTAGTACTTAGGGGTCGATCCACTAAGGACTATGTGATGGATGCACTACAAACCTATATGATTCCAATTAAGCTAAGTGAACATATTATTTGGTTTTTGGAGTTTTTTGATGAAATAAATAACAAGCAATAAAATAAAAGGATAGATATCAATTAAGATGAGAAATCAAGTAATTCACAAAACATATGCAAACATAAGAAATCGATTTAGGGTTTTAATACTAGTTGTTCTAGAACTCATATCACTAATGTAAGGTCATCTCACTGTCGTGACGTAACTAACCATATACGTTTTCTACCCTAATAGACTCAACTATCGCAGGTTATTATAAGGTGAAAACATGCTTTATGATCAAAATTGATTGTTCACTAGACTCCTTAACTAACCTATCAAAATATTAAGATGCCTAGCTCATCGAATACTAGGTCTGGAGATATAACAAGCTTTTGGAGAGTATGTCAAGATAAGATCAACCCCTGGGTAGCTAAGCCAGTTCGTGCTTTGAGTATAAATAAAGATGAAGAATCAATTCTAGTATAAAACTCTAAACGATTAGGTATGTAAAGACATAAAATTAAGAAAGTGCATAGAAATCAAATCAAAACTAGTACTCTAACATGTTTTGCAACACGCAGCAGCAAGAGTAAATCAAATAAACATAAAAATAAATCGTTGATCTACAAAGCGTAAGGAGTTAGATCTCATCTCTTCGCAATAGGGCAAAGTCAATCTATCCTTAAAGGCTTTTAAAATCAATTATGCATTAAGAACAAGAGAAAAACGAAATACATGTTTAGGTATTGATTTAGGCTGTTATGGCCGGCTGCTTAAGTTCCTAGAGAGGCTAAAAAAAAGTATATATAGGGGTTTAAGGAGGCTTAAGTCGGCTAGGTTTTCTTCGGGCAAAAACGTCTTTTTGGTCGAANCTGAGGCAATACCGGTCACAATACCGGTCGGGTTGCGTGACCGGTATTTGAGACTTCTATAGCGCTTCTCGAAGGTCGGAAAAGTTCTGGATCNTTGGCCCATGGGCAGCCCGGTGCTTGGTTCCTTTGTGCACTCACTTCACTTCGAAGGCAGTTTGACATGTTCTCAGTGTTTCCAGTGTATCTTCTCAGAAATCTTACTCAAATGGCTATCTCCATACCAAGTTTTATTAAATTCCCAATTGATTTGATTCTCCGTTCATCAGCGAACTTCTGGCGTATGCGTTCTGTCCAGTTTGAGAATATGCATTATCTTCAAGATATAACGACTTGGCTTGGTTCCTTTGACATGAATGAGTAGCTGCATCATAGATAACACTCTTTTTNNTNTNTTTTACATCCTTTTGATGATAAAACCTGTTAAGACCTTAAAATCTATAAATACGAGAAAANTACNTCTTTTNGTCGAAAANCTTTATNAATATATGTAAAANNCATAGTAAAATAGATAGTAAAAGTGGTAAAATATAGGGTATATCA